GCGGGAGCTGGGGGCACCGAGGGGGGTGATGCCGAGGTTTTTCGGGGAAAGCTGATGGGGAGGGGTTGAGGGCGTTAAGGGGTTGGGAGGGGGAGAAGCTGAGAGCAGCGGGCACTGAAGGTGGTGATTGTGGTGAAAATAGGATGTTAAGGGCGTTGGGGTGGGCTGGTGGGAAGGATGGGGGGCGTTAAGGGTTTTGGAGGTGCAGGGGTAGGCTAGAATGGAGGGGTTGGGGATGTTAAGGAGAGGTTTTGTGGTGTGCAGGGGGCAGTAAGGAGCTCTGTGGGGTATTGCAGGGGCATTAGGAGTCGTTCAGGAGGTTGGGGTGGTTATGGGGAGTGGGAGCATTAGGAGCAGCATTTGAGGGGTTGGGGCTATGGGTGGAAGGGATGGAGCATTGCATGATGGAGGGTGGCCAATTTTGTTGGTGGCTACTGGGAGAAGAGTGTTGATGGCCCTGACAGGAGGGCAGGCAGAGGCCTGACTTGACCTCTTGGGCATAAGGATTGGTGAATCCTGAATCCCAGTGGAGGAGGGTATGTGGGAGGCTGGTGATGGATTGAAGGGCAAAAAGAAAGGTTTGGGGACCTTGGAGAGGGGCTGGTCTGGAGAGAGTGGGCTTGGGGCAGAGTTGCTGTGGGGAGCTAAGCCTGGGTCTGGTTTGGGAGGGGATGACTGTGAGGCTACCTTGGAAGTAAGGAAAAAAAGGGTCTGGGAAAGGTAGGAAAGCCAAATTAGGGGAGGGATAGCAGAGATTTGGGAGGGGTTGAGGGATTATGGAGAGAAAGGAGATGATGCATTTGTGTGGGCACCTGCTGGGTAGCTTGAGGAGAACTGCTTGATGATATGAAGGCAATAACATTCTCTGAGCTTCAGAAATATGGGGGATAGAGCTTGAGAAGAGATGGGGCATGAGGACATGTTAGATGATAGCATTGGCTCTCTGGGAGCTCGGGTATCAGCTCAGGTAGCTTTAGGTTGCTGGAGCTCCATTTCCTTTTAAAGGCTTAACGTGCACCCTTGTGTGTATTAGGCTATCGTGTATTATCTGAAGTGTCTGGATATCACAAAGAACAACCCAGGAACTGAAGTGCTTGATGCATTCAAAAGTTATAGCACAATACATGGAAGTATTCACCAGTGTAAAGTCAGATAATAGAGTAACTGGTACATTGCATGTAAATTTCAGAATTGCACGTAAATTGCAGACAGTTGACCAAGCTACCTGTGTATTAAAGTGCATCTATGTTTGCTGGTCAGGTAGCTTTAGGTTGCTGGAGCTCCATTTCCTTTTAAAGGCTTAACGTGCACCCTTGTGTGTATTAGGCTATCGTGTATTATCTGAAGTGTCTGGATATCACAAAGAACAACCCAGGAACTGAAGTGCTTGATGCATTCAAAAGTTATAGCACAATACATGGAAGTATTCACCAGTGTAAAGTCAGATAATAGAGTAACTGGTACATTGCATGTAAATTTCAGAATTGCACGTAAATTGCAGACAGTTGACCAAGCTACCTGTGTATTAAAGTGCGTCTATGTTTGCTGGAGAATTTCAATTAAAAAAAAAGCTTTTTTTAATATTTTGTACAAGAAAGGAATAAAAGGATTTTCACTTTTCAGATTGTGTGCCTGTGAAATGAGAAATTCTGCACTGTGAGACAGAAATGGAGGTTGTTCCGTTTGCTTGAAATACATGAACATGGCTGTTCTGCAATGGTTATGTTCTTTCTCTGCCTGCACTTAGAAATTGAAGTGATCATAAAAGGGAAGCAAAAGTGACCTTTTAAAATATTTTTTTTCACTTAATAAATTATCTTATTTGTTTAGAAAGAGCTTAATATTTGTTTAAAGCTGGAAAGGACCTAAAAATTCATAATCAGTAACAAAATACCAAGATGGTAAAAAAAAAAAGAGGGAAGCTGAAAGAGAAAATGGTTTCCACTCAAGCCTCTCTCTTTATGAGTGATTTTTGTAATCTGAGATACTGTTTTAGAGTTGTCATGAGAACATTCAGCCTCTCTGTGAACATCTGCAAGCTTTTGAGCTCCACTGGGAGATCCAGACAGCATCTGTAATTTGGCATGTTTGTAGGAGGCATGTCATCTGTTAATTTTTTTCCTCCTCAACATTTGTTCTTGTGCAGTTTTTTTTTTTATTTTTTTTCAGGCCAGATGGAGGCAGGGAGGCCAGTGTTTGCAATAAATTTCTCAAGCAGTCAGCAGATACCAGGCAGTTAATAAAAATAACTTAAAAAACCTTCACAATCTGTTACCCTCCTCCCCTCACCCCTGAGTCCCAAACAGGAATGGAAAAATTCTTAAGACTATATAAAGAATAGAGAAACGGCCAGAGATAATTCTTGGAGTTCTTCCACATACTTTAGAATTTTGGTCTGCCGTATGGTGTGTTGGAAGCTGGCGTTTACCACAGTGACCCTAGGCATTGTAACAACAAAAGGAAGTAAAGAATGATCTTGTAAATAAAAAAAAGCCCTTAACTAAGAGATGAGTATTGTCCAAAAAGGGTATGCCTTTTTAGAAGATGATGTCAGTTTCATATGTCTATGTTTAGTGGTGAATGAGTGTTTCCCTTAAGAATATATACATTTCTGAACAATATTTCTATCGAATGCTTTGGTTAAATATCAACATCTAAAGTCAGTGTAAATTTGTTCTGTTTGGTAGGGCTTTGGACCCACCCCATTTTGCATTACCTTTATGTAAAATAAAGTAGGCAAATCCTTGTTATTAATTAATCATGTTTGTAACATAATATAGGTTTGTTGTTACTGTGTATCTATGTATGAGGGGAAATGCGAAATGAGTACTTGGCTTCAATTTTATGTTGTCTCTGTCTATGTGCTTTAATATTATCATCCTCTAAACCGCTCTGGTGTTAATCACGTAGCGGTTAAGTATGTGGCTTTTTTCCTGCAGCTTCAGAGGAGCAGTCAGTGGGGTGTTTGGGGACATGGCGGTGCAGGGATGGAAGAGTTGTAGTTTCCCAACCAGTTTTAGCAGGGGACATATCTGTGTTGAAAGATTAACAGTTTGTATCCATGTGTTCCTTATGTAATTGTGCCGAGGTTCAGGATTTTGTCATAGCAAAGTTTCACTAAAATTTTTAAGTAATGCACTGTATTTTAGCTGTGCCAAGATGGCACTGATTTAACTTGCTGAAGTACTGGAGGGGAAAATAAAATAAAATAAAAAAAGACCCCCATTTCTAGAATAAGGATGATTTTTCTACCGTGTTAGGGAAGTAAGATGGCTTAGGGTCTGTTGAGTGCTAGGCTGTGGCCAAAGTGAAGAGGAATGTGGGACTGTATGATTGATAGGAATAGGGAGGTAGAAGAAGTGCTTAGGAAGGAACAGTTGCCAAGGAGAGGAGCAGAGCGATTGCATTCAATTGTCTGCCTGCGGAGCTTCAGCTGAAGTGATCGTTCGTCTTGAACTGATGGCAGAGCATCTGGCTTCACGCTTTGTAGCCGCTTGGCTGCTGTGGTTGTGGTCCAGTAATGGGCTCTGAAAGTAAATTTAGTCTTACGGCACTGCAGCTTAACTTCTGATTTCTGCTGAAGTGCTAGACATTTGCCTTGTCCTTTTGTTCAGAGATTGACTTACGGCAGAATAATTACACTGCAGCTGCTAGTCTTTCCTACTTCTTCGTATATTGCCATTTTCTCAGGTGATAATGGAATTTTTGTGGGGAATAGCTGGCATTCTCAAAAACATGCTGCAATTAAAATGGAAATAGAGAGCTGGTGTTTGTAAATCAGTCTGTTTAAATAGAGAATGCATTAAGGCTGCAGGACTAACTGGTACATACGTGTGTTTAGGTGATGGGCAACCTGCCATTTGATGGCACCCATGGAAGAACTTCACTTCGTTTCCAGCCCATTGGCTGATGTTGGTCCTACCTGTGAGTTGCTCACAGTAAACAAGTATTCTGAAGAGCTGCACTGTCCAGAGTGGTTATAGAAAATACCAGTATGAATACTGATGTGCAGTCTTAATAAATAGTGCTGCTGTTCAGATGTGCTGAAGTGCCAGAAATCCTTGTAATTTGCAACCAGCATTGAGTTGGTCCAGACATTCAGTAAGGAGAGGTTCATGCCTGTTCCTGGGTGCTTGAGGTTTCTGAAATACAGAATTAAATATTACTGTCCAAATAAAGTCAAGAAGCAAGGAATTTGGTCCTGTGAAGTGCACACGGAATTGAAACGTCTTCCTTTACATCCATTTTTAATATTTGTTGCTAAACAATATCTGTTGCTAAACATGCTAGTTTTTAAAGTTGCTAGATCTCCTTTTTACAGTCAAGCTCCCTATGTTCATTGTAGAGAAATTCTGAAAATGGCTGGAAAACTGTCATGTATTTTAAGGTGGGTGAACGCCATTGTCTTTTGTGAGTGCCAAGCAGTAAAACAGATTTATTTTGGTGAGTTAAGAAAAATAAAAAAAATGGAGAAAGCATGTTACTGTTCAAGCTAGATAGTAAATTTCAAATAAAGTGCTTTGGAAATTAATGAAATTCTGAGAGCCTTTAACTCAATCTGACTTCTGTTTTCACAAATATGTTAAGATGGTGGTAATGTCAGACTGTGGGAAATCCAGGGAAATCCTATACTCTGATATAAGCAGACAATAGTAATGTTTCTGGTAGAAATCCTGAGGTCAACAAAAGGCCCATGAAAAAATAAACTTGATTTTTTTGAGGGTAGAGTGGAAACAGATGGTAGTAGCAGCAAGTTAATAAGTGAGATTTGCAAAGAAGTATAAAAGGTTTTAT